AGCTGGTGAGTGACTATTTTCCCCAAATTCCGTTGTGCTGAAACTGAATTAGATTGGCAAAGTTAGAAAGATATTGGGGTATTCTAATTTGACTGATCAACTTAAACAACACGTTGTTAAACACAAACGATGTGTCCTAACAACCACAGTCAAATTGACAACTATTGGGATTGTAATTATTGTTATTGGCTAGCTGCTTCACTAACTAAAATAATGTTTGTTTTAGTGCATACAATGTTGCAAAGAGTTGACAGCTTTGTCAAACCAAAATTAGTTCCAAAGTTACCTATCCATACATATGGATATGGAATATACAGATGTCTGTCTTTCTAATTCACCTCTAAATAACATACAATAGTAATCTCTTCAGGTGTCAGAAATCTGCTGCATGAATGCCTGACTTAACCCTTATGCCATTGGCTGTGTTAATGCCTATTGCATAGATTTGAGCAATCTGTGTAAGGTTTCCTTTTCTTTTTGAATATTGGAGGTTCAATCTCAGCTTCTATAATACATACATACAGACAGTAAAGGGCAACAAATCTCCCTATTGAAATCAGTTAAAACCACACATTTTGACCCACTGGCCATTAAAACATAAAACCAAGCATTATATTATATCTGGGTATTACATCTACAGCTGGCTTCAAAATGGTGACTTTTATAATTTTACAGCAATGTTTTAATGTTCGTCCTATGGGGCAAAACATGCAATTTGATTGGTTTACTGTACAAAAAAATTGAAATGCATCAACATCAATCAAACATTATACAAACAAACAGGCATGTATTGGATTAAGCCTCTAAAAGTGAATGACTGTTTGGTAGTTATGATCAGGACCATAATTGGTTTGAACATTTAACTCAGTAAAAGAGGAAATAATATTTACATATATATTTACATGGAAGGATTTTATGCAGACATTTTCATCCTCTTGGTATATTAGAACTTGTTTTATAGTGAGGCACAAGGGTTGAAATCAGTGCTAACATGACTGACTTCATGCAGTCGTCACTGCCTGAACAAACAGTTTGTGCAGCCATACGATGTGTGTTTTCTCACAGGCTCCAGCCCGTATGCTCTACATGCCAGTGATTTATACACCTTGATAAGAAGATAAATGAGAAGAGCTATCCAAATCACAGCTTCCACATTCCTATACCTTACTGATGATCAATTTAACCTCTCTGCCTCCCCCTCTCTGCCTCCCCCTCTCTGCCTCCTCACTCAGAGGGAGATGCAGGTTCAGGACAACCGCCTGGCCCGTCAGCTGATCCGTCTGCGTGTGGAGATCCACCGGCTGAAAGTGGAGCAGGTGTGTGGCCGCCATAAGGAGATGCTGGACGATGCCACGTACGAGCTGGAGGAGTGTGGCGAGGAGTCGGACCTGCTGTGTGACATCCCCATGAAGGCAGCCTTTTCCCTGTCCGGCCCCCTCAAACACCTGGGCCTCACCAAGATGAACATCAACTCCAGACGTTTCTCACTCTGTTAAAATTTAAAAACCCTCATTTGTGTTTCTGAGGATGTTCCCATGGCCTCCTCTGTGTTTGTGTTGGCTACATATTAGGCTTATTTCCTCCAATTGGTGGGTGGGAATGAACATGACTGTGCACCTTGGCTTGACATGCATGAGGAAGTCTCAGTGTGGAGACCTGTAGGGGCACACCCACTTAATACAGACACACCTTCCTGTTGGATAGAGCTTCAGCTGCTCTACTGTTCACTGTTCACTGTTCTTTGCACATGTCATGTTAATCGGATATAACAAGAAGGCTTGTTAATGTGAAGGTAGATATGGAAGGGCACCATTTACCCAGAGGAGAGATGCTGAAAGATTGTCAGAAGAACAATCTCCCTTCAGAAAAGCAGCTTCATGGTCACAGTAGATTTAGAGAGGTCAGCTTACTTTACATCAGTGGTTCCCAAAATAGGGGTCGGTGCCAAGACAGGGGTACCGTAATTCTTTTTAGATATTGTGAGGCAATTAACTGGATAGGAAAAATAAATAAATTACTGATTACATTTCACTGATTATATTCGTGTTTAACAAGCTTTGAGCAGATAAACTGCTACACAAAGTGTAGTTTTGTAGCACTATAGGCTACACTCAATTCATGGCTATTAAATGTCCATAAACAGAGAAGAAAAGTAGAGGATGCAAACTGGCTATGGCCAATTCACTTAAAAATGGGGACAGATCATTAGGAATTCTATAAGTTCTTTCATCTGAGCTAGTAGTGCCTCGTTTCATGATGTATGGAGATAAAGACAAAAATATGCCAAGAGCATAACAGCTAAGTCATGTAAGTTAAATATTTACGGAATTTATTCAGCCAATGCATTTTAATATACTATCAACTCTTTTATCGCAAATGTAAAAAGAACCTCAAGAGTGCAAAACATTTGTTTTTCAGACAATTATAGTTTTATCAAAAAATGTGCGCTTCCATACAGTTTTTCCTATGTGATCATTTAAAATGTTTAATACCCAAAAGGTTGGGAACGCTTTGGATTACTGTTAAATGTGGAGTTGACTGAAATAAGAAAAGTAAGAAGGAGGGACCTCTGGTCACATAAAATAAATTGTCAGCATTGCTTATGTACACATTTAAAAGGAGTACTGTAATCCAGCTGGTAAAGCCTTCATACAGCTACTGTCCTCACTACTATCCTCAAAGGAAGCTGGAGGTCCCTCTCCAGCATTTCTACGCCTCTTCTTCACAAACCAAATATATCTCCATAGCCTCACCACTGCAGCGACAGGACGCAGGAGGCTGTGCCTAAAGCATTTTTTTTCCCATTACTATATATGGCTGGTGGTGACCAAGTGTATTCTGCGGCTCAAAGTTGAATGCCAATTATAGCTTAATATTATTAGCTAGCAAGTAGGAAGATGTTTTTATTGAGTGGTATTTGACATTGGTTCTTACTTTGTTGGATGTAAAAAAAAAAAAGAAACTGCAATATTGTAAAAAATATGCTACTGTAATATAAATGTATGTATTTGACAAATGATTATAAAAAGAAGTGCCTTAAAATGTAACTGTTTTTCTTGCACAAACAGCAGAAAATTAATGAGACTACTATATATATTTGACTTGTAGATTGTATTGTATTAGCATTAAAACGTGAAATATTACATGCTTAGACTTTGAGCTGTTTTGTGCATCTGCCTATACCATATATCCATATTTTCCAGCCTAACTGCCACTACATCCTCCATGGGATCCATCCTTCATCCTAAAGCCATCCTGCACAAAAGTCTCTTGTTTCCTGCCACGAGACATTCATGACCTGCTGTAATTTCCAAACATAAGTGTGGGGCCCCGGAGGGATGAGCAGAAACACAGGCAGTGTTGGACTTAATTAGTCAAACAAGAAACCAAATATGCCTTACCAGAGTGCGCACTGTCTGAAATGAGGACTGTTGACATGATTACAAAGCGGCATACTTCTACCTCAGGACACGGATGACCAATTGTGTGACATAAGAACTAAAAAGTTGAAATTAATATTATATGAAAGATGCAAAGAGGCCGAAGTTCGTCTTGAGGCCTCATTCTTTAGTGAATGCTTTTATAACAAAGCTCTGCAGAGTTGTGTTTCTCATGCCCCTCAGCTCTGCCCTGCAGATAGTTTCACTTGACCCTTTAACCATATCATACCACATGATCATATGTTGAAGAAACTGGAATTAGAGACTAAACAAACTTAAGAATATATGTTTTTTAAATTGGTTAAGAATGACTGAGTGAGTTAGCAGCAAAAAAAAGGGGCAGCACCTGCACAGTGAAGTATGTCAGTAGGAGTGTTGGAAAACCTTTTTGCATATTGATAGTATCTCGATTTGATTGCGTAACAGAATGTGATTTCCAACCACATTTAGACAACAGCTGTGGTCGAAGGGAAACTAGGAATACCCTTAAAGCCTCACAAGGCCCGGCAAAAGCTGATCTCCAAATATGGTGAGGTTTTTTGTAGTAAATGTGCCAGCATTCATCATATTTATGGAGAATGTGTGCCAGGTTGGATTCTGCATTCAGAAACAGATAATACCACATAAATCAGCTCAGTAAAAGACTCACTGTAAAAAATGAAAGTACTTAATTATCCCTTCTAGGGTTACACTCTCACAGTTATGTGCCCTAATGGAAAAAGAGTAAGCTCAAGTGGTTTCGTGTTAATCTATGCTGTGGCAGTGTTCTACGCAGACGTCTGTGCACTTCCTGGAAGGTTTGGACCGACTTCCTGCCAGCGCAAGCTCTGTTGCAGCAGCAGCTCACCACAAGAGAAGAGAAGCGGCCTGCAGCAGAGAAAGATTTAGAACTTTACACGCAGGGCTGAACGTGATCATTCTCCGAGTAGCAATGGTTAAACATGATGATTAGTTTACACTGACATATGTTTTTTTGCCCCTCTGCAAGTGAGATGTTTGTGACTCATGTTGTCTATAACTTTCCTATTTGATTGTCATTGAAAACCAAGGCCAAAGTCTATTTTTAAAATGGTTCGCTGGCCACACGGAGACACAAACCACATGTGTGATTGACAAAATAGACTTGTTTACTTAATACTTAACCTGTCGTTTGACACCACAACACAGGAAACACAACTGTCCCCAATCACCAAATTGGTGATTTATCTAGTACATTGTTTATTATAATTATTTATAATCAATCTGATACTGTTCGTATATTATTATATCATGTATATTATTAATTACAATCTTTCATAGCAGGTTCTCTTGAATAACCCTGCATCACTTCACCTTAAAGGTCACAGATCTACAGATGATACACACAAAAGTCGAATATAGAACTCTAACTGAACCACTGTCTCACATAGCCTCCTTTTTTAAAACTGTGTTGGAAACATCTTTGGGAAAGGTGCTGTCCTGACCCCTTTACCATGGAGCCTTTAACTGCTCACACACAGCTGCAAGTTGAAGCACCTGTTATAGAAGAAGCCTGCAGAGCAACCCTCAACCTTTCAACGACAGGAAACTCTGCTGTCACTCTCCTCCGCTTCTCCAAAGTGTGTGTTCGCACATTCAGTTAGTGACTATAAGAGAAGCGGATGATGACATCTTCACACCCGTTGTGAAAAACTACCTTACTGCTAAATAGATTTTTCTTTACAAAATAGACATATTTAAAAAGTGTCTTTATGGAGGCACGTGATATCTGATATTGCACATTTGAAGAGACATTTCATATTTCAAAAGGTAAGTGTCATACTTGTGATTCTATTGTTGTCGCATAGTTTTAAAATGTAGAGAAAGAAAAGTGAATAAACTAAAAGTGATCATTTTTCTTTAGTTATCATGTGTTACATGACAAGAGATACATAAATCAGACAGGATGTTTAGAGTTTGCAGATTCGTTGAGTCTTTAATGTAATTTAATGTAATGAAAAATAGAGAAAAATTATGTCAAAGCCCGAGTTACATCCCTATAGCTACACTCACTATGTTTTTGTTGCCTGGTTCTAAATTAATGTGTATAAAAAAATATTTCATTAGCGCTGTTGATAAAAATCACTATGATAAAAGGAACAAACAAAGGATTAATATTAAAGTTAAATGTTCTTTAGACGTGTTTGTAAGTTGAAAGCTGCCACACAAACTGTGAATACGAGAGACACAATGTAGGTGATGCAGACTAGATTATGAAGTACAAAAAACGAATAAAATGTGAAATGTTGGAATTGGAACAGAGCTGCATCAACATAAAAATCTCATAAAATATTTGTGTTGATATTTCGTTACATTTTTAAATCTAGTTTATTTGTTTATAGTGTTCATAATGCTTTTTTTTTTTAAAGGTGTGGTTATAATCCTACATGCTTCACTTACAATGTCAACATGTATCAGGTCATTATTCAGACTAACAGAGTTTCTTCATGATACTCTGCATACAATAACAATCAGTATTTGTTTGCCAAGGCCTTCAGATCATAAACAAAAGAGGGTAGCCCCTGAATGGAAAATGCTGACTTTGTTTGTGTGACTCTGTGAGTACTGGCCAGAATGCGTAGGAGTGCTGATAATTGAGAAAAAAACCTAGAAAAACTCCTCATAGGTCAAAGTGATCGCTCCTCGGGCTCTCAGTGCAGTGTTGGGCTGTTATTGGCGGGTCAGGCCTCTCCAGATTGTTCTCACGGCTCCGAGCCTTTGGGACAGACGGCCGCTGCGATTAGCCCACTGACCCTGTTCCATGAGCGGCCCGCTGGGAGCCAAGTGAGCTTAAGAAGGCCAGCTCATACAGTGCACCAGTGTAAAACAAAATACAGAGCACCCCATGCTGGATTATACAAGATTAGTATCTTTTAGAATTTCGTAGTGCTTGAGGTAGAATTAGAACATGTCCACTCCTGCGATTTGCAATAATGGGAAGTAACAATGTAGCTGTTTGTCACAGTGCTGGATGTGATTTTACTTGCAGGTTTATAGTGTCGAAACAGTGCCTACAGATAAAGCTTTCACATGTGTTAGGCCCTTTGTTTCCAGCCCGGTTCTCCATTTTGAGGCGAGGCCCTAATCACATTCGATAACAGTATGACAGTTTCGGATTTCTTTTTTGTTTTCTGTCCACCGCAACGCAATTTTAGTTTAGTTCCAAACAGTATTTGATATCTATCTTTTAAAATGCATCGCAAACCGTAAACCGTCTTGGATTGGTATGAGAGACATTCCTTAAGGGACATGAAAGCTATCTCAGACGCCGCACAAAAAAAGAAAATACTTTCACACGCCATCAAAAAATGTATAGACATTATTTTATGAACCCTAATGCCCATAATGCTTGAATTAAACCTCTTAATTGCAGAAAAATGGGCTGCAACTGCAGTTCGGACTATTCAGACAGCGACTGGATTGAGAACTTGGATGAAATCTGTGATCACTGCAACTGCGCCATACCCCCCCAGTCATGCAACCCAGTAAGTGTCACTGCACATATTGTATGTACAGGCGTGTGTTTGTGTCAGTTCATCATACATTGTAGTGTTTGAATGTGTGTAAGTGAGCTTCACGTGAATGGCCTTTGGTTGTTTGTGTGCCCATGAGTGTGTGAACATTTCATAGGGTGCAACAATTCAATTCATGGCGTGTAAATGATGTAAACATTTCCAAGAAAAATAGAGCAATCTGTTTTTGTGTTTTGTGTCCATAACGGTTTATAACCTACATGCCTGTGAGGGAAGTTCTCTTTTGTGTTTGTGATTAAATTACAGCGTAATCATTCCCTCTGTGTTTTTGTTTCCTCTGCATGAGTAAGATATCCCGTTAGATTAGAAATAAAGTAGAAAGCCACCTGTGTGTGGCACATTATGTTGAGACATTTTGTCTGGGAGAAAAACCTAAACTGTGATAACATTGGCCTAATAACCTGACGTTTATTTTAGATGAATGTGATACTTACTTATTTTTTCTGCCGGATTCTTCTTTTGTTCTTTGGAAAGTCTAATATTGTTTGTTTTTTGATCTCCAGTACACAGACCAGCTTATTCATCACCCATCACAGTATTCACCTCCTACATCTCCTCTACCAGGTGACAAAAATACAACAAACTGTTCTACATTTGCAAGTAGTAAAGTGTAAATACAAATAAAAGTGATAAAACATTATTGAATGTGTAAATACTAGGGCTGTCAGTCGATTAAAATATTTAATCGCGATTAATCGCATGATTGTCCATAGTTAATCGCGATTAATCGCAAATTAATCGCACATTTTGTATCTGTTCTAAATGTAACTTAGAGGGATATTTTTCAAGTTTTTAATACTATTATCAACATATGAGTGGACAAATATGCTTTATATGTTTGTTTATTATCATTTGAACAATGACAAATATTCTCATGAATATTAAACACAACAACCTCTGAACATTACAAATATTCGATTCAACCTGGAACCTCTCATACAATAATACTGTGTGTGTGTGTGTGTGTGTGTGTGTGTGTGTGTGTGTGTGTGTGTGGTGTGTGGTGTGTGTGTGTGTGTGTGTGTGTGTGTGTGTGTGTGTGTGTGTGTGTGTGTGTGTGTGTGTGTGTGTGTGTGTGGTGTGGGAGCTGCAATCATGTTGCGCGCACTATCCGTGCTGAGTGTGCTGACTTTTCGTACAATGTCCCACTGTCTGGCTACCTGCATAAAGTAAAGTGCTCGGCGCAGTTGTCGGCGAAATGTCATTGAAACAGCTCCTTATATCCGTTAGCGCAGCTAGCTAGCACCAGATGCTAACAACAACAACACGTAAGGTGTGCCTCGCTCGCGCGAGTCGCGCCACACATACACACACCCTCCCGGTCCTCCCGATGGCCAGTCCGGGCCTGCCGGTGAGCGTGGAAGTGTGGTCTGCCACAAGCGGGCGGCAGGTGCGGGGCTGTAAGCATCAGCTTGTAGATGGTATTTTAAACTCGATGCGCTCTGAAACTACTGGGCGGCCGAGGACAAAAAATACACATGCGTTAATCGCGTTAAAATAATTAGTGGCGTTAATTTTTTTTTGCGTTAACGCGTTATTAACGCGTTAACTTGACAGCCCTAGTAAATACATTTAAAAGCTTTTGATTTTATTCCTTTATTCCAAACTACAGTTTGCATTTTATAATTTGCACACACAATCATTTGCCTCACCAACCTTTTTGTAACATCTCCCCATCTCCCTTATAGTTTAAATATTGTGTCTAAATGCAGGAGCATAAGAAGTTAACATTTCCTTTCTTCCTTTACAAAAATCTAAATTGTGAACCTCTTCGTATTAGTTATTTATGGATTAAATTACATGTATAACTAAGCATACATGGAGTTTAGCTAATTTGCTGCCAATGTGGCTTCACCTCGCTCCGTTTCCCATATGTTCCTCCTTTTTTTCCAGCCCACTTTACCTTTAGCCACATAAACAATAATGGGCTACCAATACACATACTGTAAGCGCTATGCAGAAGACTAAGCTTTACCACTGTCCTACTCACCATCGCCTTCGAGCCTTTACAGGCAGCCAATTGCCAAAATATAAATATCAAAACAACTAAAGCCTTTAATATATTCTAATAGTACGTTTTGGGAGTGAAATCTGTGGCTAATGTGTTTCACCTATATGTAATTCTTTCAAAAATGTACAAACCTCCTTGCAGACAACCTTGTGCTGGCCATATACAGTTATGAACCCAACCATGATGGAGACCTGGGCTTTCAGAAGGGAGACAAACTCAAGATCATCAACAAGTAAGCTGCTCATTACCGTAAAGTAAAGATAGGGAAATATATCTTAGAATATTTAGGCCCCAGACAACAATTCATAGACTATCCACTCACCTCAACGTAACCTAAAGCTTCATTTACATTTTAGGCCTACAGAATATATACATATACAGGAAATAAGGGAACACGTTGGTTTGGTTGGTGGAATTTTTAAATAAAAACATGGCTTTATTAATGTGAAAAACTCCAAAAAATACTCTAAAATGTAATTGAACTTTTCAAATAAATAAATAAAATATGGGTTCATTTTGTTTGTGTGTTTTTAACACTCAGAAAATACAATACAGTGTTTGGTTGGAAAAAAGCAAAAATAAATATAAAAAAATAGAGGTTTTAGGGAGAACTATTCCTTTTTTGAAATGTCAAGTTTAAGAACCTATACAGTGTGGGGAATGTTGTTGAATTGAACATCTTCACTGTAAAACAAGACATTCCCACGCCTAATGTGACATGCGGTTCATTTGATGCACTGATCATTACCAGTGCAGAGAACACCTTTTTCCGTTGGGGGGCTAACTGAAACTGCTTTCTGAATATGTACTCCGTCTCTCAGAAAGTCTAGACTGTGTTTCATTTGTAAAAGTCACTCTTTTGCCCTCAGGGAAGATCCAGAGTGGTATTTGGCGGAGTCTCTCACCACAGGCCAGCAGGGCTACATCCCATACAACTTTGTTGCGATGACCACCATGGAGACAGAATCGTACGTCACACAGGAAACATAATCATACATCTCTCAACGCCATGTCACTCAACCTCAACACCATCTCATATCATGCGTGCTGTGTCCCTGAGGGAAGGGAAGTGGTTTGCTCATAGTGTGAAGCATATCGTGTATTTGTGTTGCAGGTGGTTCTTTAAGAACATTTCGAGAAACGAAGCCACGCGGCTCCTCCTCTCTCCCGGGAATACAATGGGCTCCTTCTTGATTCGAGAGAGTGAGACAACCCAAGGTGATATTTTTGTCATCATGTCATTGACTCAAAAGGCAGTTTCTCAGCAGCATATTTGGAGTATGGCTTTTCATTGTTATTTGCTTAAAGGTGCTATCGGTAGAATATTAAGACTTTGATATATTTCTTTACAATAATACAACACACAAAAGGTGTGGGTTTCCCCATGTTACTTTGTCTTGTTATGACTGGCAGATGACCCATTTCCCACAACTCCCTTCCTGCTTCCAAACTCGTTTAACATGTTTGATTTCAGTTTTGCTTTTAGTCTGAAATGCAAACACTACTAGATGTGTCATAAATCAATATAGTGTAATGTAAAGAAGTGAGAGAAAAATGTTTTTTTCACCAATAAACTTCAATCGATTTGTGATGTTCCGATATCTTTAGTTGAAAACACCTCGATTCCATTATGTTTCTTCTTTGTTCCAGGCTCATTCTCCTTATCAATCAGGGACTTGGACCACAACACTGGGGAAGTAGTCAAGCACTACAGAATCCGCAACATGGACGATGGTGGCTTCTACATCACAGCCAAGATATCCTTTAGCTCGCTGAAGGAGATGGTCCAGCATCACTCACGTGCGTGCAGCCTGTTGAAATGACTAACAAGATCGCTGTGGGGTCTTTATCTAAATGATTCTAAACCTGTGTGGTCTCTGTATCGTTCAGGTGAGGCAGAGGGGTTGTGCACAAAGCTGGTGAAGCCGTGTCAGTCGAGGGCACCACAGAAGCCCTGGTGGCAGGATGAGTGGGAGATTCCCAGAGAGTCCCTGAAGCTGGAGCAAAAGCTGGGAGCAGGACAGTTTGGAGAAGTCTGGATGGGTAAGGGACAGAGAAGACCCTATGGGGGAAATGATTGATCCAATTCAATTATTTAAGTGTCATTTTTTTCTATTTTGTACATAATGGTTTGCACAATTTTGCACAGATCCATCACATGTACAGAGCCCTGTTATCAAGTTGTGGGCACCTAAAGCCTTTAGCCTGGGTTTTTCCACAGCGTATGCAGAACAGTTTCCTAAACACGGTCTTAATTGTAGGCTTGTATGAGCTGGTTCACTGAAGAATTATGAGGTATTATCCCTGTTATGCAACAGCACTCAAACAACATCAATCTAAATTTGCAAAGAGCTCATGAATTGGATGAATGGTCTCTTAACAATTCTTGCATAAACGCAATTGTTGAGTATTAAGTCAGACACGAAAATGTGCTGATCACAAGGGTATCAGTTTTAATCATCTGTGCCACAACGTCCTTATTATTCAATTAAAGGGGTAATTCCCTTCTCTTTTCCATCCTCAATTGCCAGCTCAATTCAACATGCCAAACAAACCCTTGTATTAAGAGAGATAAACATTGCCAACCATGGAACTTGTCCTCATTGCACAGCCACTCTCTATTTACGATATCTTCTTGCATGTAGTCTGGGCACTGTATTTGTTTCTCTATTCACGTCCAAAGATTGGGGACTTTCAAGGACATGCTTAAATAATGGGAGTGGTTTTCATTTGCTATGAAAGTTTTATTTCATTTTCATTTTGTTTCCAATGCTACGCTTCATGCATGGTGTGAGATGCTTATCATTTCATGAGCATGGCTGTGGGTTTGAGTGACATGTTTTAATGTAGCAGATCTGGAATGAAGTCATGTTTGCATGACAGTCATGTGGAACTATTGTCGGTATGTCATAACAACTGTATTTATCACCGCATTACTTTGGTCATCCCCTAAGTTTTTATTCTAGTACCAAAATTAGGTCCACATTTTCGATTGCGAGTGAATTCACTCACCAACTATTAGTTGGATAAACATTAATGCTACAAACATGCATGTTCCTAGACTGAATGCCGATAAGTTAAGGTTTTTCATTTGGCGCCATAAGAAGAACATTATTTTAATTACTTCAATGCTTAAAGGTAGGGTAGGTAAGTTTGAGAAACCGCTCGAGATACACTTTTTGTTATATTCCATGGAATGCTCTTAACATCCCGATAGCAATGAATATCTTAAGTGCTTTGACAAAAAATCCATAAAAAAATGTCATCTGTGGAAGCCGTAATACTGTAAAAAGTACGACCAATCATTTTAGCCGGCCCGGCTAAATAACTGGATGGCCTACCTGCCTGTCAGCCTTCCATCTGTGCACAAACTTATCTCGTGCCCTCATTGGTCATGTGCGCGTTCGTGTGTGTTGGAGGAGGGGCTCTGTAAGGAAGTGGCAGATTTTCTCCGGTTGTGTATTTTCAAATTCTAGCGATCTCGAGCCGGTTTCTCCGTAAGAATGGAGAAACCAGCTTGAGTGCGCTAGAATTTGAAAGTACGCAGCCGAAGAAAATCCGCCCCTTCCTTCAGACTCCCTTACAGAGCCCCTCCTCCAACACACACGAACGCGCACATGACCAATGAGGGCACGAGATAAGTTTGTGCACAGATGGAAGGCTGACAGGCAGGTAGGCCATCCAGTTATTTTAGCCGGGCTGGCTAAAATGATTGGTCGTACTTTTTACAGTACTACGGCTTCCACAGATGACATTTTTTTATGGATTTTTTGTCAAAGCACTTAAGATATTCATTGCTATCGGGATGTTAAGAGCATTCCATGGAATATAACAAAAAGTGTTTCTGAAGTGAATTACCTACACTACCTTTAATGAGCAAATACATTTGAATACGTTTGCTAGCCAACACAAATTGTGGAAAACATTATACCTGCTTAACATTAGCATGTTAACATTGTGATAAGCACTGCACTGCTGTACCTGCTAGCATGTCTGCAGACTCTTTGTCTTGTTTTAAACAATGCCCTTCAACCACTGATGTCCAAATGTATATTGTCAGGTGTCTACAATAATGACAGGAGGGTGGCAATTAAGAACCTGAAGATAGGCACAATGACGGTGGAAGCCTTCCTGGCAGAGGCCAACATGATGAAGAACTTGCAGCATCCACGTCTCGTCCGCCTCTTCGCCGTTGTCACGCAGGAGCCAATCTATATTGTCACGGAGTACATGGAGAATGGTGGGTAGAAACTCCAGTTATCTCTTATAGCATGAAAAGAAAAGGAAAACCATGGTCCCAGGGTATTTCCATCATCCTCAATTGAAGCTAAATTAAAAAGAGATTCTTCTTTAATCATACCAGCTTCTTTTCAATTCACTTAGTCAGCTGGAGTATGTCTAAGCCTGTCTGAAACGATCATTCCCTTAATCTCAGGCCCTGTTGCCCGAAAACCAAAGGCGGTGTCATAAGCATAATGTCTGGGCCTGGGGAAAAAATAAATGATAGGCAGCGGCGTAGACGTTCAGGATCAAACATGTTGATCTGGAATTAGAAAAATGGTTGTTAGAGCACTTGCTTTAACAAAAGACTGGGCTGCCCAAAGTGTTTCATCCTTTTCATTAGTCACCGTATTTGCAGACTTCAGTGACTCTGTTGAATTATCTTTTGAACACACAGCTGCCTTCCTATGTTTGATAAAAGATATAAACATTACTGAAATAATACTGTATAATCACAACCCGTGCATGGACATGAATGCAGCTGTGAGAGCAAACCTAAATAAGGGACTCGGTCATGAGCCTTGCCTCCCAAAGCATGCTGCTCTGCTGAAGTGGCCTGCCTTCTGATAGGCTATTTTCAGCTTCTCCTCGCAACGCTCCTGTATTCGCCACTCTGTGCTAAAATGTCTCAAAGCAAACATGAACTTTCACTTATTTTCCGGGCCCCTCCAGTCAGGTTACTGGTGTTTACTCATGAAGGGGAAATCCCAGTCTCCTGGCCCATCTGAGACAAGAGGGTGTTCAAATAGGAGAGGGTGATTAATCAGGTTATTGTTCACAAAGACCCCTTGATGATACTTGGCTACTTTCCAGAGTCTGCATTACGCACATTGCATCCACAGACACTCACAAGCACATTGAACCACAAACAAAAGAAATAAAAAGGGGCAATCGTAACAGATGCAAACAACTTTCCATATTACATGCTCTATGCCCTGTAATAGTTTATCACGCACAAGTGCAGCAGTCATTTGTAAGTCATGCAGTATCTTTAATCTCAACAAATATGTTTAATTCTCCTTCACTGGGAGGAACAACAACAATATGCATAGAGAGATGCTGTCACAAACACAGCTTTAGCCTTGCAGCAGAATTGAATGGAGTGGCTTTGTATGGTCTTGTATGAGTGGCCTGTAAACCAACAGCAGTGGCTCTACATGAGGCTGCCTCTTTGTCTGGGATCCACGTGTGGACAGGACACAATTGTCGCCTCTGTGTTCAAGAGAAAGGATGGCTCGTAGTTCTCGTCTTTTCAGTTTTTATTATGGAAGACAACAAAGATGGAAAAAAACAGGCGTGTCAACCCGGCTTCCTTTTGTGACCTTGACAAAAAGCGTTCCTCCAGACTTCAAAAGCTGTCTTCCTGACTTTAAGCAGAGGAGCAAAGGCCTCCTCTTTCCTGGCACAGTCATACCTCTTATTTCCTTTGGTTTGACTTGGTTGGCTTGTGTGCGGAGTTATTGTTCTGTGCTTATCAAACTCAACACAAAGTCTGCTGTCAGAAACTATATACATCAACTTGACTGATGTTTGTGCACTTCCTCAAAGTGTTATGTCCCCTGTTTTAAACTGCTATTCTGGTCCAACTGTCTATTTATGTCCATGAGGTTTTTACCAAGGAAAATATAATCTTCTGGAACAAACTTGGCTTTACTTTTGTTGTCCAATTCAATTAAAGCTTGTTCTGTACTATTCAGCATGCACTTGTGGTTGTAACCTACTTTATAGATATATTTGATTGTAGAAATAGGTTGCTAGAGTCCATCTGTTAAGGCTGACATGATTTTTTGTTACAAAATGTTTTTTGTTCAGCAAAACGTGCTTGTCTGAAAAGATACAACTTAAATGTCATTTTCACAGGAAGCCTAGTGGATTACTTGAAAACCACAGAGGGAAGCAGTTTGCCAATGAACACTCTGATAGACATGGCGGCTCAGGCAAGACAACTCTCTTTTTTACTGTCAATGAATCTGTGCTTTTATCTACATTCTCCATTTACCACACTCTGTTTCGTTTATTCTTTCACAGCCTATTCTCTCAGCATGATCCTCATAGACAGGAAACTGACCACTGTTGTAATGAGACTTACACTCAACGCTGTATGACAGAGCAGGGTGTGTGTGTGAGCAGAGGTGCATGTGGTCTAGACATGTTGTCACAAATAAAACTGGTTAAAACCAAAGAACCAGGATAGGGGAGAGATTCACCTTTTTATTAACCCATGTGAAAGTTCTCGTTGTGATTTTAAGCCTGACAAAAGACAAATCTGGTCAGTTACACCAGATGTTTAAACAAGGATTAACACAGACTAAAAGTTTAAGGGGTATAACAACATTTTGGGAGTACACTTATTATGTATTTTGTGCCGAGGGCTTCACTAGAATATGATACCGTTCTCATATCTTTCTGTTAAATATGAACCTACAGCCAGGAGACAGTTATCGCCTAGCACACATACTGGAAACAGGGGGAAACAGCTAGTCTGGCTTTAAAAGTTAACACAATCTGCCTACCAGCTCATCAACAGCTCACTTATCAACATGTTGTATCTGGTTTAAAAAGCTGTCTACTATTGGACAGCGCCAGCCGTTTGGTCATGGTTCCAATCTTTAAGCTGGGCTAGGTTTAGCTAAGCTACTGGTTCTCGCTTCACTTTTAGCGTACAGATAAGAACGGTATCATTCTTATCCAGCACATAGCAACATGAAAGGATATGAAAAAAATATCGCAATGTTATCATTCCTGCATCTACTTCTTTAAATGTTAGATGCTAATAAAGGAACTGGTGTGGGTGTGGGAAACCCAGCCACCGGAAGACAGAATGATCTTTCAAAGTCTAACAAGAGATTCTTCATTTGAGAATAGGTTCATACAGAGCTTTGTGGTAAACGTGGTTTAAAAAAGATGCATTCTAGCGAGTCGTCATGCTCTGATAGCATTTGTGGTAAAAGCCCTAGCAAGTAACTCTAAAATTAAAGTGATGAATGACCTTGCTCGGCCACAGTAGCCCATTGGACTCTCTGTCCACATACTTAAACCTTGACTAAAATGTGTATACATGAATGGAATCAGAAGAGTTCAAGAGTTTCAGATTGAATCATACCACAATCAAATGGAGAGTGAAGAGGCGTTAAGTTGCCTGAATTGGAAGTCATGACGACGGTAAAAGTTTATGAAATACACAGACATAGGCTACGTACATCTCACGTTTCGGACAAGCCCCCCAGGGCTAATTGCACCTATGTGATACATTCTTGTGTCTGACATATACACCACTGACCCAGCAAAATGTAGAGAGTTAGAAACATTTACACAAACACACAAATGACACAGATGCTTATTAACTGTGGGTTGTGAATTCTGTGGAAATCTTAATAAGATAACATCAATTGCTTTGTGCAATAGTTTCAAGTTACATCATAGGTCTGCTTATGTAGAAATGACTAATGATTGAATCAGAAACAGTCACTGGAATATTCAGCCAGCCTGTAGTAAGGTGAAGGCAAGACTGCAGCTTTTAGTATCAGGAAGTAGAGCGGTTACAGCTGGATGTACCTGGGTGGAGTACAGAGGTAAAGGGTATAAGGAACTGACCTGGGGAAGTGGGAAACTCCCTGATTTGGGAGTGAACCAAAGCTGTCCATCTGTCCAACACACACAAATATTACACAATACTAAACCATACACAAGTCACTTACACTCACACTCACATTTCATGCTTGAACACACAGTGATAGGACTTGTCTGATGATGTGCTGCCTCCTGCAGGTGGCGGATGGCATGGCTTTCATTGAGCAGAAGAATTACATTCATCGAGACGTGAGAGCAGCCAATATTCTGGTGTCCTGTGAGCTCATTTGTAAGATTGCTGACTTCGGACTGGCAAGGCTGATTGAGGACAATGAATACACAGCAAGAGAAGGTAACACATCCTCGGACAAATCACCCATGTTTGTCTTGAAGTCAAAACAAAAATGTAAGTATGATATAAATCTGTACAGAAGATAAGGTTTCTTCCTGTGTTCATAGGTGCAAAGTTCCCCATCAAATGGACGGCTCCAGAGGCTATCAACTATGGCACCTTTTCCATAAAGTCTGATGTGTGGTCATTTGGGATCCTCCTCACAGAAATAGTGACATATGGACGCATACCCTACCCTGGTAAATACTCATTAATTATCATACTAGTCCATCCCAAATTCCTTTCTTAAAACACCTAAGTAAAAGTATAACATTTTTGAGACCATTGACAATTTAACTGTTTTTCAGGTATGTCCAACCCAGAGGTAATCCAGAACCTGGACCGGGGCTACAGAATGCCGAGGCCAGAAAACTGTCCAGAGGGGCTTTTTAACGTCATGTGTCTTTGCTGGGGGGAAAACCCAGAGGACAGGCCCACCTTCGAGTACCTGAGGAGCGTTCTGGAGGATTTCGTCACGGCCACAGAGAGGCAGTACCAGGAGTAGCTCTCAAGAAGCAGAAAGACATACAGACTTACAATAAATGTACTCAAACTAAAGGCATTGCTCGTGAAGATGGATGCTGGATTTTGTTTTATTTGTCTTTAAACAGTAGGCTACATGGGTATTTTGCTTCTACATGAATTGTATTTTATAGTGGCCTCTTGTGGAACTATAAACCAGGAAACTCTTGCAACAGCTGGAGAGGGAAGTGATCAGCATGCTGCTTGAATAGACATGGCAACTGTAGCTGAGAAAGTAGCAGCTCTCCTGGTGCTCATTATTAAGATGTAAATACCCTCAAAGTACTCAGCTATGTTTTACCTCGAAACATTTATATATTTGTTCCTACTGGTTTTACTTACAGATAAAAGCTTAACATGGATGTTGTTTTGCCGTTACTTAAAATACAGCAGAACCGATCACAACCCATTTCCCCAATGATCCCCCATCAGATTAAACTTGGTATGTTTCATACGTAAAAATAATCAAATGTTTTATTGATGCTTTTATGACTATAAATACATGTAATTAATAATAAAAAATATGTGCTTTCTGGACACTGTAGTTTTAATCGTGTGTGCTGAAATTCTGAAATTATAAAAAAAACGTTTTCAGACACTAACTGTTAGTGTAGGCTATGTGATCATGGACAGTATTTCAATAATGTAATGAGGTGTGGAAAAATTAAAGTTGCTTCAGCTGCATTACTCCATTAGGAAAACTATTAACTTTACATACATTATAGGCCTATGTTTGCTGTTAAATACACTTTTATGGGAAAAAACTGCCATCGTCCTTATCACATTTGTCAAAAATATAAATGTTGTTGCCTTGGGTTTTGAAGAATATACAGCACATTTTCCCATAATAATGTAATGATGTAGGCTACTCAATGACAAATCTGCAAAGGGGTTAAAAACTACAATTACGTCACAGAGTGGGACGGGCTATAACTCTATCGCCCCCTGTTGAAGGCAGCTATCATTACCTCCCATTGATTCGCCTTGATACAAACTATCCGCCTCTCGTCGCTGTTGTCTCTTGCGTTGTGCGGGGAAAGCCAGCAAAAGGCAGTAAAATGGCGCTTAGTTCTCAAGGAACAAAGAAAAAAGTTTGCTACTACTATGACGGTGAGTACTGTTGTGCTTGTACACTACAAACCGTTCGTGCGTATGTGTGAAATCCTGCACTTGGTGCCAACAAAGGTTGCAGTTTATTTATTCAGCCTCTTGTGCTAACCTGGCACGTTAGCTAAGCTAGCTAGCTTTAGTCGCAGGCGGCTCTCATCATCTCAGTGTAACGCAGAGCTGCTAAGTCCACAGACAGTATTTATGCCCTAATAGTATATCCGCGGTTCCAATTGATGCGTTAGTTTCGAGTAAAACAGACTTGCATGCATTTATCCACCAAATAGCAGCATTTAAAACCAAATTAGTAGCTGTTACTAGCTACACAGCTAACAATGGGTAAATGAGTACTTCATTGTCGCCTCAATTAACGCCAGCACCAAGCTAGCCTTACAACGGCTCATCGTGCAACCCCCAAATACCCGGTAGTTAGCATTAGATACTGTTTTGGTCTCGATTTATTGATCCGTGTAATATGGCGCAACCTTGGAAATGTAGCTGGGTACTTAGTTTACTTTCATAGACCCGATTTTACTACAGGCTGTAGTTTATAGAGATCTCTTGCAGGATCCCAAATACATTTTTGTTGAAATCCTCGACGATCTTTTCAGTGCACAGACCAGGAAGTTGTAGGACCTACTGTTATTTTACTTTTTACTTTGTGTTTACATTTGTTGAACGTTTACATTTGAAATAGAACCAAAAAATCCAACATGTTGTGTTTATTTTTTTAATATTTCAGGTGATGTTGGAAACTACTACTATGGACAGGGGCACCCCATGAAGCCCCACCGAATCCGCATGACTCACAACTTGTTGCTCAACTATGGACTCTACAGAAAGATGGAGATATATGTATGTTAAAAGTAACATTTTAAATTAATCTGCCACACCAACTCGCCTTATGTGTCTCAGGAACTAAGTTGTCCTCTGTGTTTCAGCGTCCACACAAAGCCAGCGGAGAAGAGATGACCAAGTATCACAGTGATGATTACATCAAGTTCCTGCGTTCAATTCGACCGGACAACATGTCAGAATACAGCAAACAAATGCAGAGATGTGAGTTTAATCACAGATGTCCTTTGCATCAGTAAAGACATTGTCTTTGTGCTCATCAAACTAACTGCATACATTCTGAAATGAGAAATAGCAATAATGTGTTTATTTCTCTGCTGCTGCTTTGCAGTTAATGTGGGAGAGGACTGTCCAGTGTTTGATGGGTTATTCGAGTTCTGCCAGCTCTCAGGAGGGGGCTCTGTTGGTACGTTTTTTGTTTGTAAATTCAGCTAGAACAATATGCTATGTTAAACTATTTTCATGCCATAGTTCCCCCATTAATCTGTCAAATTCAGTATTGGCAGGTTGTTAACTCTTCTCTGTTCTCCAGCTGGTGCGGTGAAGTTGAACAAACAGCAGACGGACATCGCCATCAACTGGGCTGGAGGCCTGCATCACGCCAAGAAGTCTGAGGCCTCCGGGTTTTGCTACGTCAACGACATTGTTCTGGCAATTCTTGAGTTACTGAAGTGAGTACAAAGGACCTATCATAGTCATTCAAGTACTGGTTTGCTTTGCATAAGGGGTATAATTGTGATATTTTTGGGAAAACATGTATTGTTTAAGGTCTAGTTGTTCCCCTAATCAAGCACATGTGTTTTCAGAAAGCCTTATAAATGTGCAAATTGAGAAAAGACTGCAAGATGTTTTGTTTTTTTTTGGCTAAATCCAAAGTTTCATCACCTAACGGATGTTTTTGCTCTTTCCAGATACCACCAGAGAGTTCTGTACATCGACATTGACATCCATCATGGAGACGGTGTGGAGGAGGCTTTCTACACCACAGACCGTGTCATGACGGTGTCCTTCCACAAGTACGGAGAGTACTTCCCTGGCACAGGCGACCTGAGGGTAAGCTTTGCAATATGTTTTACTGATTGGAGTCACATTGTCATAGTTATAAGGTTAGCTGACATCTTTCTTGTTCTCTGCAGGACATCGGTGCTGGTAAGGGTAAATATTACGCTGTGAATTACCCGCTGAGGGATGGGATTGACGATGAGTCTTATGAAGCCATATTCAAACCTGTAAGTAAACAAAGACTTGACTTTGATGTTTGGGTAGTTGTGATCTCTCTGATGGAAAGAAGGATTTTAAGAGTGGATGTTGTTTGTGCAGATCATGGCCAAGGTGATGGAGATGTACCAACCCAGCGCAGTGGTTCTGCAGTGTGGAGCTGATTCTCTGTCAGGAGACAGACTCGGTTGCTTTAACCTCACCATTAAAGGTAAATTAACAAAACATCCCTTTATTTAGATGCACAACTGTCTGCAATGCCTTGACTGCAGTCTATCTGGCAAGCCAAATAATCTTCCTTTCTTTCATTCTGTGTTCTCAGGCCATGCAAAGTGTGTGGAGTACATGAAGAGCTTCAACCTGCCACTGCTCATGCTGGGAGGAGGAGGCTACACCATCCGTAACGTGGCACGCTGCTGGACTTATGAGACGGCTGTGGCCCTGGATACCTCCATCCCCAACGGTGAGTCTTTTTATACCCTTTAGAGTCAAATTCTGTGGTGTGGTGGTAAACAAAGCATTTTAGAATATTTCAGAAATAATTGAATCTATTAATAAGTCTGTTGTCAGATCCATTGATTAAACTGCAGTTGCAATAGTTTCCCAGCAAGTGAAAAGAGATATATAGACTTGAGTATCCTTATACAAACAATCAATTAACTTCTTGATTATTATCTAATGAACAACAAATGTACATTTCTCAGAGCTCCCATACAACGACTACTTTGAGTACTTTGGACCAGACTTCAAGCTGCACATCAGCCCCTCCAACATGACCAACCAGAACACCAATGACTACCTGGAGAAGATCAAGTAAGTGCATCAAATTGGATTTATGTGAACTTTGTATTTTCACAATCGCATTTCAAATAACACGTTAGTAACAAAATCTAGACATTTTTGGTACTTTGGAAAGTGTTGAAATTGTACTTTTTAAATAGCGGTTTCAACCCTGTAAATGTAAGAATTTGGCCATATGTTGGGTACAGGTTTTTATCTCCGGTCCTTTAGTGTTCAGTATGTTCAACCTGTATTCTGTTCTACAGGCAGCGCTTGTTTGAGAACTTGCGCATGCTGCCCCACGCCCCGGGGGTCCAGATGCAGGCCATCCCTGAGGACGCTGTGCAGGAGGACAGTGGAGATGAGGAGGAGGATGACCCCAACAAACGCATCTCGAGTAAGAACCTCTTCCGTAGACATAACTTTCTTACATATTCACATCGGGTATCTGGAGATTATGCAGCTATCCATTTCAAACTAGTGTTCCATGTTTTAATTGAACCCTCTGCTCTGTTAACTTCAGTCCGTGCTCACGACAAGAGGATAGCGTGTGAGGAGGAGTTCTCTGATTCTGAGGATGAAGGCGAAGGAGGCCGCAGACACGCAGCCAGCTTCAAGAAAGCCAAGCGAGCCAAGACTGAAGGAGAGAAGGAGGGAGAAGAAAAGGAGAAGAAGACTGAGGAGGAAACGAAAGGTATACATACAAAAATATATGTATATTCTTTTTATCTCATTGGTCAGATCATTCTATATAATTCATAGGTAGTTGTGTTGTGATCGCTAAATATGTGTTTGTTTTCTTTTACAGAAGTAAAAGAAGAAGAGAAGGCACCAGAGGAGGAGAAAATGGACACATCAAAGTAAGAAAACACTTCACACACATATTGACCGTATTTTACAGGAAGTGGTCATTGTGTGGTGCTAATCATTTCCTCTCTCTTGGTCCTTTAGGCCGAAGGAAGAGTCCAAGACGCCTTGAAGTCCTCAGCAGCTAATGGTGCCAATTCGGTTGATAAGAACAAGCTTTGTTTGGATAAATCATCTTTCCAGGCTGCTGCTGTGGAAATCAGTCAAGAAATATACCTTTGTAATGAGACCCTTCTTCCTCAAAATGGGATAGGGATCTTAATATTTTCTAGGACACCTTTTCAACCGAACCTGTTTATGGACCGAGGTCAAACTGCGTATTTTTGAGTATTGTTTTTGTATTCTTTATCATTTTATTTTTTATTCTTAATCTTTTTATTCTATGACACTTACTTTTCCCTTGTAATGCAACTGTGTAAAAATGGCTAGTACATGTATGCTTTTATATATCTGAACGATTTATTTAAATCATAGATATTTTGGCTACGGTTTTGTCTTTCAGTCCCAATTGTCATGTGTCTTTGAAAATGTAGTTGAAGCATGTTTATACTATAGATCCTTTTCTGTAATACATTTGTGTCACTGAGATTGGTTAAAAGGGTTGTGAATACCTGATAACCTTTTCATATGGCACAGTGAAGGTCAGTTACACTCTTATTTTAGGATGTGTCCTTTACACAGACATCTTCAAATCCCTGGGACTCCCGCCACACAATATTGATAATGTTTTGATTCCTGTCACGTGATGTCAGGGCTTAAATTCCATATAAATTTGGACTTGAATATCCAGCATAAAGTACTTAAATGGGAAGAAAGACAAATGCCAGAATTCATTTGTTGTATATATTTGTATTCTGAAATCTGACAGACCATGTGTGCAAACACACTTTTAACACCAATAAAAAAAAAAAACTACCCTTAAACATTATGTACCTTTGTTGTTAATACAAATGTTAAGCTGGCAGAATAATAGACAAAACTACATTTATAAAAAACATTTTAATGTCAACAAACGGGAGCCATCGCAACACCCAAAACACAAATCTGATAATTTAAAACCATCCAACAGCAGTATTTAATCACAGGGAAATATAATGCCTTTTGCTTTTTCAGACATTTAATCTGTAACAGACACAGTAACTTCACAGAAAGTGTTTCATTTTATCCAGGTAAGCCAGGCAGTTAGCAACCCATGTCATTAGGCTTAGGAGCTTCAGAGCCACGCGCTCTGCTCCACCGCGACTTCTTCCAACAGCTCGTCCTGCTCTGCCGGCTCCTCAGGGTCAGCCTCGCTCTCTGGGTCGGGTGCTTTAGGAAGCGGTGGATAGTCCACAGGTCTCTGGATACGCACCTACAACATAACAAACATTTAGTTTAAGATAAGGTAAAACATCAATATCATTAGCAAAGGTAACTAGAAAATGACTAAAATACAGACTGATCTTTGGTACTAGTGCTAAGTGGCAATTTCAAAGTGTCATTAGCCAACACTCTTTTGAATAGCAATTAATCCATTTTAAACCACAACTTGTTTAAAAATGTAAAATCGCTAAGCACAAATCTGCCTGCATATCGTAATGGCAGGGCCGGTTGACATGTAAGTCCAAACTACAACATAGTGTCTCTTGAGACTTAAGTTAATTTACTTTATTTTGAATAATGTCATTGCAATTTTATAAAGACCTTTTTTTCTAATATGCATTTGTGACAACACAAGTGTGTCCAATGATGGTAATAAACTGAGCCACTGTTGTGATCTGTGCTTTTGGAGTTTATTTCCAGCCACTGATCCAACCATGTGATGTGCACTGAGACCACATGAGAAGAGGACAGTTACCACCCCGCTCTGTTCAGGTTTGCTTTGTCAGTAGGGCCACTATCTTCCATTTGTCTGTATTCAATTCAATGTCACAGTGCTATTTGTGGATAGATTGAAGCCAGGCCAGGTCACTTTTATAACGTTCACTTAATTTAATGCTTTTCCATTGCTGCTGTGTTAGTAGGGCTTTTATTTGAGGTATTATAGTTAAATTATTAGTTTGTTGTTACCTCCACACAGGGAGTTATGTTTTCAGGTTGTTTTGTCAGGAGTATTACAGAAAAATGACTCCATATTTTCATGAACCTTAATAGAATGGTTTAACATGGGCCAGTGAAGAATGAAAGTTGATTTGAATCACAGAGTACACAGACTTCTTTATATACAGTCTACGGTAGAGACACATGTTTTACTTATGGAAACAGCCTTTATAGAGTGCTGGCCCTTCTAGTTTTAAAATATATTCATGTTTAACCTCTATCATTCTTTTAAAAGTATTTGTAGAAATTAAATTGATTTGTTTGCACTTTGGAAAGAGGTAAACATCACAGCCGCATCTACATTAAGGTTAAAAAAATGTATATAAAAAATCAAAGGTCTGCCTAAAATGACTTAACATGACATCATCTGGATGTTGTGATATGGCATGGTTTTAAAGGCTGTATTACATTACATAAGTGATGTAATTCTTTGAACATACCAGACTTGTGTAGCTCTTCAATGAATTGCCTTTACTCACTTTGTCATTATATTCACCTTGGATCATTTATCCAAAATGTCATTGTGTTAATATTTAGTGAAACCATTATTGATTAACCCTACAATATCATTGTTATATTGAGGTATTGGCTGAACGATAACATAATATGTTATTATCTTCATATGTAGGTCCAACACTGATCAGACAGCAGCTCACCCTCCTGGCCTGGGTCGGCCTCCTCCTGCACGGACACAGGTAGAGGAATGAAGTGCAGGCAGCGAAGCAGCGGAAGGAAAACACTGTTTCCACCACGGACATTAAGATGAGAGGAACCCACAGAATGATCGTTGTCCCCTGGTTGACAAAAAAAGAGGATTTTCAGGCATTTCAAGTAAATATAAAAACTACTGATGGATGAATATTAACATTCAACTTACATAGATACGTGTGGGGTCGAAGGGGCATTCGTATGTGATGCTGGCGGTGTCGACAACAGGTTCAGAAAACGTGCAGTGTGTGAGCAGACCCCATCCTCTGTTGCTGATGGCTTTTACCATAGAAACTAATAAGGCCACAGTGGAGGCGACCGCCAGAAGGCCGGCCAGGAAGCTCAACACCAACAAGACCCACTGCTGCAAAGAGAAGGTACAAGAAAGTGAAAGCGCACCTCGTAGAAAGACAATTATAAACAGGAGATAACAGGCTTTTCAATGTCAATTAAATGTAAGTGGGAGGCTCTAGGACCCTGGAATACAATCCACAGCAAAGACAGGAAATATTTAAATATACTCTATATTCGCATGGACCTGAATGTTAGCTATTTAAATAATAAGATATAATCTTGCATATGTTTACACACATGCATTCCCTCAAAAACAGAGGACAAGTTCTAACAGGAGCCAGCAAATGACACATGAGTGCTGAATGGAGCGAGGGAGAAGCAGTGGCAGAGAGAGGGGAAGAGCATTTACCAGGATCCTGTTTCTCTTGTTTTTGGACAGGACAATGGCAGTTATTCCAACAATAATTCCCTATGGGGTCACAAGAGAAAAAAAGCAAAGAGAATTCATAAAATATATACAGATCAAATATGAGGTTTCAAGCAACATTTTAGTAAATGTTTTTCTAGTCTGTTGAGGAAAAATTATTTTAAAACCACTGTTCACTGGTAATTATCAATTGGATTTAAAAATGTTCATATACATAGTGAGTTTTTGCACCACTTACAACCAGGCCTGCCACAATGGCGATGACATTAGAGATGGCGTAGACCATGGTCCGGGCCTGAGAGTGCACGTTGATGTGTCTGAGCACAGCGCCGTGCACCAGCGCTCCAAGAAGAAAGTTGACGTGGCCCACCAGCACCAGCCCCAACCCCATCTTCATCAGGGCTTTGTTGTCCTTCAGGTTGGCACAGCATACTCCTACAGGAAGTAGAAATAAGATTTGACTTGGGCTGCAACCCATCATTATTTCCATTATCGATTATCCTGCCAAAGAGAAAATAGTGAAAAAGGTCCTTCCCTGTTTCTCAAAGTCTAAGGTGATGTCTTTAAATGTTTTGACAGTACAACCAGGGCCGTCCCTCCCTACAGGCCGATCATGCAGGCTGCATGGGGCCTCACATTGCGCAGGGGGCCTCGGCTTATGAGCTCGGCTTGTGCGCAGTTCTCCGCGCAGTTCTCCGCGCAGTTCTCCGCGCATCAGCTGCAATTCACGACATGAAGAAGGCAGTCTCTGCATAGCAGGCTAATGGAGATGCAGTTATTTCCAGCATTCTTTATTTACCATTCATTCAAGTATTTTATGCCTTTTATCTGCTAATGTACAGGAGGAAGAGTGATACACTGTCTGTCTAGTTGGCTTACATAACAGTTCAAGTTTACAGCCTAAAAAACATGGAGCATTTTCTCCCCCTTTTATTCATTTTTATGTCAATTTGCACATTTCATGGTGATGCTCAGCCTCTCCCCTTAACTCCTAACAGTCATCATCATGTCAACCACAACACAGAGAAATACTGATAGAAATGTGTGTGTAGTTGTTGATACATTGCTGACAGAGGGAATACATTTGAATACAGATTTAAGAAATATCAGTTTTTGAGCATGTAATAAGCATGTTTTGTCTTGACTATACTACAACTATATTATAATAAAATAATATAGTATTTATATTATTGAATTGATTATGATTATGATTATTATTATTAGTAGAAGTAGTTTATTTGCATTAATTATATTAAAACCTGCTCTGGAGATGTTGTAATTTCTCCACAAAAGTGAGTTACAGGAACTGTAACCAAATCTCTGGATTGCCCTCCGCATTGCAGTAACTCTTCCTGTTACAGTTGCGTCTGCTGAGAGAAGCTTTTCCAAACTGAAGGCTATGAAGACGTACCTCCGGTCGTCAATGGCACAAGAACGCTTAAGTGGCCTGGCTATCATAAGCATCAACGCACAGTTGGCACAGCAGCTGTCATACGATGACCTTGTCGATGACTTTGCATCCAGGAAATGCTTCCCTGATCGGAGCATCCCTAATTTTGTTCCTTCCTCTGAGGAAAGTTTAATCATCCCCCACCTGTAAAGGACAATGTAAGCCCCTCCTGAACCAAACAGGACAAAGCTTTGGGTGGAGTGTTCAAACATTAGCCACTATTTACCTGGCCTGAGGGGTCAGGCAGAAACACATTCTGCCTGTCTCATTCCAGCCTTTAGGAGCTGCAGGAAAAACTCAGTGTGTGTTGGTCATAATATTGATAGTATAATGTTGACACTGTAATGTACAGACCCTAACAAATTCATAGTATTTTGGCATGTAGTGATAACCCGTATCACTCTGATAACCACTTGATATTATATTCCAATATGATAAAAGATAAGCTGTAAAATGCAATATGATATTCTATTTTTATAGTTACACATGACCCATATTACACAAACACATAGTAAATTATGTTTGATCGCGTTACTTTCTTTATGTTCAGTTATAATGATAAGATGTGGTGCGATAGCCTACTACTATGGGTCTTTATTTTTGACCTATCAACAGCCTCTATCATGGATCTATGCAACAGCTACCCAAAGTTTAACTTTTATTGGTGAAACTCCAAATCAACTAAATAAATAAACTTTATTGTCATAAAATGAACGTATATCACTTAAGCTTCGACATCCAAACACCATTAAAAATGTTAACTACGTTTGTTACGTCTCATCTCCTTTGACCTCAGTCACGGACTGCGCAGACCACGCCTAAAAACTTTAGCGCGCAACACACACAAATATTCAGCCACTTTAGTCAAACACGCATTAAAAGTTAACTTACCTGAGTTCGGCATGGTGGCGTTTATGTCCCCTTAGATCATATTAGTGTAGAAGTTGTATTAAAGTCATTTCTGACAGCTTGGTTGTCTTCCTCAACTTCCGCTTACCTGCAGGACAGTGACACACAGGCGTAACCTTCCGCCTACCTGAGCTGAAGCTCCGCCCCGTGCTGGCTCACTCTACAAGAAAAAAGGGAAACGTTGTTTATCTGTTCAAAACACATGCAACTGGGACCCTATACTAGTCAAATTGATTATCCATACATGGAAAAAAAATGATATTTCTAAATGTTTGCAATTATTATATTATCAGAAGAAAAAAACATCACATAATGTATTCGATCTTCATGATTATACATAAAGTTAACTGAACAGTGGTTTACAGTGACTCCCTTGTTTGTTCACTGCAGGATTTTATGGGAACTTATTACAACAAGGTAATTAGTAACCTAGGTCTCATGCTGAACCAGATGTGGTATTAACACTGTAGATTTCTACTCTACATTGACCTGACAATCCATGCTACTAGTAGGCCTACCCACAAGCATACAAGCTACAACACTAAAGTGATAGTATTACAGACCATTCTGTGTAATGAGTAATTTTGGCACTTTAAATTAATTTGATGAGCATACATATACAAGCAAGTATTCAGTCACATTGTTGTTTTGCTACTTTTACTTTTGTTAACTCTTTATATCTTTATATATATATAAATATAATAATCTGTGTACTACTTGCACCGCTGTGCAACATTTCCTCAGTTAGCCATCACGATTATTTAGTCTTTCTCTCCCCAACATATTAAAAAATATATATATATATATTGTGCACAATCTTTTCCATAAGGATTATAATAGCACAATTCCATTAAATATGTTCAACATTTATGGCATAATTGGGCATCTATATAGCCCTGGTAAAATGTCAAGTTCTGAAAAGTGGATAAGAATGATATTATTGAGGAACAGGTAAAATACAGTTTAATTCAGATGTCAGGGATTGATAAAGATAAAGTCAGGAATAAAATCAACAAAATATACAATCTTATACTACTTGTGTGTTGTAAAAAAAAGTGGATTTACCACATCTGCTGAATGCCTCCTGTCTCACAATGAAATAGCATATAGACTGGCAGCACTAGTGTTGAATGCAGCATAATGGCCTCGTTAGCGTGATTGCTAACACCTGTCCCTCCTGCCTGCACCTTATTAAAGACACACCTGTGGTGGGAGGGAAATTATCCCACTTTGAGGCTTGCAATGGGGAGTATAGAGATATTTGTCCGTGTTTTTCTTGCACACGTAATTGCTGCTCAACCAGTAATAAGAAAGCAGGATGCCACATTTTTTCAGGATGTTGAACAATTATTTGACAACATCAGGCCTTTTCCATTTGAAAACAATTTTGATTTCATCCCGTATGACACCATCTTCAGCTCGTGGCGGACTCTGCAGCCTGACTTTCACAAGCTGGTTGAATTACCTCACACCATGATGGTTCCCAGAGTCGAGGTGTTCTGCGATGAATCGAAGCTAACTCTGCTGGTTGATAAGAGATTCAATGGTGTCGTACTGACCGGAGAGGAGCTACAGCTGGGTGGGGGCTGCTATAGCAACAGCGAGCTACCAAACCAATTTGTCTTCACCTATAGTTTGGATGAGTGTGGAACCACACCTGTGGTAAGTGGACAACATGTTTTAATAGTTATTGAGTTCCACAGCTTTTGTAAGGATTGTCTGATTTCTCTTACAGATGCAGAATGGCTTGGTGATGTTTAGCAACTCTCTACACTTGAATCTCAAAAAACCTCTCCAAACAGGGTGGCAAACTCCCTCCGCTGTGCACATCTCATGCATGCCTAAAAGGTGCATCCTTTTGATTTGCCAAAATAGTTGTAAATCTGTCACAAATTATCATACTAAAAGAGAATGCATGTCGCTACAGGTCATATCCAAACTTCTTTAACTCCACGCCATTTCCTGAGACTGGCAAAACCTTTAACATCAAAGCTATGAATCGTGAGTCATAAGTAAAACATAATGCTGTTAGGCTGGATTTGTTTTCTTCTTTTGCAATAACAAGTATTTAATCGTTTCTGCAGCAACTTGGACTGGTAATGCAGAAACTAACATCTACAAGCGAGGGCAGGTTGTCAACCTCCAGGTTTCTGCCAAAATCAGTTCTGAACAGAAGCAGCTTTTCATCCAGTCCTGTTTTGTCTCTGCGTTCCCTGAGCCTCAGACTAGACCCAGGCATGCAGTCATAATGAATAAAGGGTAAGCAGCCAGTCAGGGGTTAATATAATGTATGTCCATGATGTTCTAATCACCTGTGATACTCTGCAGATGCACAGCCCCGTTGGGTTCTCCTCATGCTGTGATACAATTCGTAGCCTCTGGCAGAGCAGATGTAGTGAATCTCGTTCTGAACACATCTTATCTTATTTCTAAGGTAAGTTTTGTTAAAAGTCATATTTTTCTTCTTCTGCTGTTCAATTAAACAACCTCCTTTTTTCTTTTCTGAAGTTGTACATCCACTGCAGTGTCCTCAAATCAGACCATGGTGTCCACACTGGCTCTAAATCCTGCAACTATAACATGATGCGATCAAGGTACTTGTACACACATTGAACTATACTTTGTGAACTTTCATTACTTGATAAGATTGTTTTGTTTTTAGATGGGAGGACCTGAGAGGAAATGCAGAGGTCTGTGAGTGCTGCATCGTGAAGTGTAGAGGCCTGTCAGTCAAGCACCTGTCTGAAGGTCAGTTTTCTGCAAAAGGTGCAATGATGATGAACTCAGTTTTTTTTCTGGTCTGTAACTCCAGCGTGTTGTTTCAGATGCTAAGGCTATCGTCAGCACTGGCCCTTTGGTTGTTGTGGACAAACGTGTAGAGATGAGTCCTCAGCCTTCTCTTCCTGAAATGCAAGAGACCACCAGTGCTCCGCATGCACGCTCCATGCAGTCTGATGGTGCAGCAATTGTTTCTAGTACTTCCTTATCAAGACCCCCTCAGGGTGTGGTGATTGTCAGTCAGGACCCAGTTGCCAGGCTGACACTTTGGCTACCTGGACAGGTCCAAGATCCTGAACATGGAGAGAGTAAGGTTTCTGAAGACAAGTTGACAGTTAAGTTACAGGCAAGAGACACCACATCAAGATACATTCCTGAGCAGCGACCGTTTACCTTATATCAGGAGCCTCCTCTGAATGCACCCACCAACAAGATCAGAGATCACGGTGCAAATGAACTAAAAGACGGTCATATGTTCGATTTGAATCTTCTTACACTAGTTGATGGATGGCCAATTCCTCCACAGATGGAAAAAGCAGCTTTTGCAGATAAAGCTCAAATAAAAAAGCTTTTTGGAAGACCTGGAATGTTTGAGGCTCCACAAGAGGTTGACATTCCACTGATGGCGGAGATGACTTTGAATGTCCTTAACCAGCATGACTTTCACCAAATAAGAGACGAGCTGGCAGAAGAAGCTGTGATGCCCAGAGATGAAGCGACTGATTCAATAATTCGCTCAAAAGTTCAGTTTTCCAAAGGCATGGATGGATCCCAAACATTGAGTTATGAAGAAGAAGTGATGAGGGAGCAAGAGGGAAAAGGTGTGACCAGTAGATTTGGGATGGATGGGAATAAAAGGAAACCGGAGACCAAACGGAGAGGACTGCGCTCGGCTTTCCTGGATTTGATAAGGTAACTAATCTTGTAACGTTAGTATTTTGTATTGCACGTGAATATGACTAACTGTATTTCTCCATCTCTTATCCCCAGGAGTATGGACAAGGCAGAATAACTGTATTTTAAGAATAGTCTAAAATGGCACTTTAACTGAATAAATCCATTGAGCAATGATCAAGTTGTTTCGTCATACATTTGAGTAAAACCAAGGACATCTTGACTCTCTGGACTCTATACGGCTGAATCATAAACTCATATACACAGTACACACTAAAGTAGGGGGAAACACTTCTAAAATAAGCACTAATTTAATTATTTATACTGAAATATAAGAGCCTTAATGATTGTCGATAAGGCTGATCATAATAAGTCAGACTTTCTGACTGTTAAGGGTTAACGGTAATGGACGAATGTGACAATTTGAGGGCTCAATTAATGGAGCATTGTAAAGAGGAATGTACCGTCCGTATGTTTAAGAATTTACACACACATATTTGATGGATACAAAGCCTGTGACCACATTTTTAAACTGCTCTTGCACAATTTTGAAATACTTGTACTTTAATTTAATATTTCCACATGCTACTTTATACTTTTACACTACATTTCAGAGGTAAATCGTGTATTTTTACTCCACTACATTTATTTAATGACTTTAGTTACTTTACAGATTTGGATTAATGATGTGAAATGTAATCATCACTTGAATAAGACTTTAGTTACACCTGGAGTACATTTACAGCTGCACCTTTACCAGCTTTGATGACACTTTAATGATCAATAATTATAATCAAAACGCATGATGTATATTATTATTCTGAAATGGACCCATCTGCATAATTACTACTTCTACTTTTGGTACTTAAGTTTATTTGATGCTTATACCTTTACTTGAGTAGCCTAATTTTTGAATGCAGGACTTTTACTTGTACAGAGTATTGCTACACTTTGGTACTTTTACTAAAGTACATTAGTAGCCTACTTCTCCCACCTCCAGTCAATTTGTATTATGAAAAATGACTATTTGGTATAGGAGGCATTTCTCTCTTTTTCTTTTAGATGTATTTTTTTTCTGCAATAGCCTATCTTTAAATCGAACTTAAACGTTGTCCATGGTGGTAACAGCCACCCAGATGTCGCTGTGGGGAGCTGCGCTCTGTAGTTAGCAGGGTACAGTGTGAGCTCTCTTTTACACCGCATGCTCGGTGTTGTTTTTCTCCCATCCCATGTTTGACCCTGGCCACTAGTTCCTCCTCACACCCACTCTCTATAAAGTTCCCATGCTTTTCTTCACACAGTCTCTTTACCCGGCCACAAAACAAGCGTGAGTGTCTAACTCGCCGATCTTGAAAAACTTAAAAAAAATATAAAAAATATAAAATCCACAAAATCTTAATAAAAACAAGGATACTTAAAGAAATACAAACGTTTAAAAAAAAACAGCAAAAATAATAATTTATAAAAATACGAGAAACAGGCCTTGGGCTTTAAACGAAGTTCGCGTCTTTTAAAGGAAGAAACACTTGAGATCATTTTATATCGTGATTTTTCAGGTTTTTTATTTTTTTTCAACAAGCTGGATAACAGAGCCAGCTGTCTTTTTGAGCTGAAGGGCACATCGGACCCGGAATAGAGCTCACACCAACCGGCTTTTTACTCTGGCGTTTCTGAGGGGAGCCCTGAATTCATTTATATTGTGAATTCCAAGTTATGGACAACACAGCGACGGGGAGTTATCCGATGGCTTCTCTTTACGTTGGCGACCTGCACCCCGACATCACGGAGGCTATGCTGTATGAGAAATTCAGCCCCGCCGGACCGGTGCTCTCCATTCGGGTCTGCCGTGACATGATCACCCGGCGATCCCTCGGTTACGCCTATGTGAACTTCTCTCAACCCGCTGATGGTAAGAAACACGCGAAGTGATCACTGCAGTTTGAGCATATGTTACCTGCATGCGGCTTTAAAATGCACACCTCATGCATCCTTTAAATATTGACAATGTCACCATATGATCTCAATGTCAAGAGTTAACCTGTCTGCATAACCAAATGCAAAATCAAGTGCACACTGACAATGAAAACACATGATTTGCTTCTAAATAATCCTGTGCCATAGACAGGATAGTGCACTAGTTTTGACCCATATAAGCATGCCCCAGTTGTTGAGAATACTCCTGCCAGAGTTAAAGCCCTCACACCCATGCAGTTTGATCTGTACTTGAAAGTGAATAGAAGCGTCTCTTTAATGCCCAATCAATTGGGAATATCAAAACCTTTTGCAGTCTCACTTAATCTGCCCAAATGACCCATTTCTGCTCCTTCTTAGGGCTACTGGGTGTAACCAATTCACATTGCCCTCTGTTGCTATGTCTAAGCAAGAGAAGGGACAGCTGAACAATGACTCCTGCAATGCCAGTTTGACATGTCTCCTTTGTATTGTCTGGCACATGCAGTAGTAAAAGACTCTATCCTGTTGGCATTTAATCCCATATTTGGTATTATCTGAATCATAATAGGTTTATCTGTAATATCGTAACCACTTGAGGGTTGTTAATCTATTAGGACATTGTGCCTCCAGTCAAAGCATTGAGCAATAGTAGCAGGTGCTGTGGTGGCCTGCTGACACTGTTTACATTGTGTGGGCTTTTTTGCCTCCTTTATCAACGATAAACACCTGTCATTTATCTGTGCTCGAGTCTGTCACCAAAAGCTGTAGTAACGATATGTCACAACTTCAAGGGAGGTAGTGTCACTCACTTGGTAAGAGCCACAAGTGAGAAGACAACATATTTGTTATTGGAAGTGTAGACATGGGGGGATGGTAACTGTTGGGTAGTTAGCATGTGCCTGTGGAGCAATAGCTTGCTGTCTGTAAATAAATCTAACTTCTGTATATCTGTTTCATTCAGAGTAACGCAGTAGTCGTAGATGACCATTACATGTATGTATGTGTAATGTGTATTTGTAAATCGCTTTGAGTCATTGAAAAAGCGCTATAATAAATATAAGGATTATTATTAATATTATAGTAGTCATGCACTCTGTTGATTTCTTTATGAATCCCACTCTGAGGCGTAGTGTTGCTCATTTGAGCATTCTTGTTGAGTGGCTCTTCCCCATCAATGGTAGAGAATGCTCTACTCACACTCTATGCCAGCACATACCTCCCAGGACCCCTCTCTAAATATAGAACATCTTTCTGAGCAGCACTTAATTTGCCTGGCAGAAATTCTTTTAAGTTTTTACCTTGACAGAAATTGTTAACCAACGACTAATAATTCAACACAACAACATTTGACCACTCTGTTTAACTACTGTTCTTAATTATTTAACTGATAATTTAAAATAGTAATTATTACATAGATCAAGCAGGCCTTTTAAAAACTACAATTCCCAATCTGAACGTTCCAGAAGACCACATGTTTGACAGCGGTCACACACCTTCTCTGAGAACACAGGCTATGAAGTACAATTGTGATCCAAACTGCTGATGCCAGCAGACACAAGGCAGCTCCGTTTTGTTTACCAGACACTTTTAGCTGGAAAGCCTGGCCTGTGTGTGTCTGTTACTGTGGACAGAACAAAGGGATGTGTTGGCGTTTGTGCACACATGAGCACCTTTATGAGAGTTGGTGCAATAGATTGAGAGAAACATTTTATAAATTGAACCTGAACCTATGCCTCCTTCCATTATGTCTTCTTTGAATCAGGTTTAAAAGAGACCGAATGGAGTGAGCAGATAACACATAGTACATCTTATACCCACAATAAGCACATTTGTATTATATTTGGGCCAGCTGCACTGATAGTGCAACTGTCTTAGGTGGGACGTGGCCCAGCAGCATGTGTTGAGTTGGAGAAGGGGGACATGTGCTCCCAGCTCGCCCACTGCAGCTGCCCCTGACACATGTCTCAGCTGCTCCTCCGCCACATGGTCTGCTGCAGTCCTTAGTCATGTTACATATACCTTGTTAATGGGCTGGAAGCTAAGACTAATACACTACATTGTACACTTTGGGTTCATCTTATTTCTCCTGGGGCGTTATTAAACGATAATTAACACCCTAAATAATCATTTGTATACCAACTTTCTATCTCGTGTTAAAAAAACTAAGAAATGTTTTGCTTTATTGAAATAAATGGGAGCTGTGTTGAACGGCAGCAAAACTATATCCAATTATATTAAATAATAAGTTCTAGGCTCATCTAGTAAGAATGGTAGTATATAAATAAGACTTGGGTTATACTTAACAATTTGCATGGGATTATTTGATGTAGTATTGTTATTTGATGCGATACTATTTACTTCAATCATCAATACTTCTTGATACATTCTTTGGGTTATCGTGAAGGCATGCAAAACAAACAGTTTTCTTAAAAAACACGGGCGAGTAATTGATATACAAATGATCATTTTATGTAAAATGTCTCTTAAGGCCCTGCTGTGTGTGTGTGTGTGTGTATGGCAGCATCTTAATCGGTTTTGACGAAATAGAAATTCCTTGTGTGCATATATTGTCCATGATAGATGGAAGCATGTTGGTTACAGACATACTACTAGTAACATATATGTTTTGACTGGTTGCTCCATGTAAACAACCACCCCTGACCTTTCCCTCCATCTCTCTGCCTCTCCTCCCTCCAGCTGAGAGAGCCCTCGACACCATGAACTTTGATGTGGTGAAAGGGAAGCCAATCAGAATCATGTGGTCCCAAAGAGACCCCTCACTCAGGAAGTCTGGAGTGGGCAACGTGTTCATCAAGAACCTTGACAAGTCCATTGACAACAAAGCCCTGTACGACACCTTCTCTGCCTTTGGCAACATCCTCTCCTGCAAGGTACAATTGTCCTAAATTCGACTGAGGGATGTTAAAACATGATGATTGTTTCTATCAAAACTGTTCTTGCCTTGAGATTTCACACAAATGTAGTTAGTTCTAGTTCCATCTCAAAACCTCAGCACCACTGCCATATTCCCACAGTTGAATATGAAGCTACAGCTAGCAGCTGGCTAACTTACCTTGTTTTAGAAACAGCTAGCCTGGCTCTGTCCAGAAGGTAACACAAATCACCCAACAGCCTGATGCTTACTAATGTACAGTTATTTAAATATGGTTGGAGTGACACCTTACGTGTTAAACTGGCAAATAACCCCTGTAAAACAACAAATAGACACGTTTTTGTACAGACGGATCCAGGCTAGCTGTTTCTGGTCTTTATGCTATGCTAGGCTAGCTGTCTTCAGCTTCATATTTAGAGGAAACATTTTACAGTGGTCTCGATATTCTTATCTTACCCTCAGCAAGAAAGCAAAGAAGCGCTCTTCTAAAACGATTTAACTATTGCTTTCAAGTTAAACCAAATGCATGCAAACATACCATACATACAGACCTATCCTGGTTAAATAAAGGTAAAATAAATAAATAAAATAAAATAATGCCTCTTGATCTGATACAATGTCTTTCTCTGCTCCAGGTGGTGTGTGATGAAAATGGTTCCAAGGGCTACGCTTTTGTCCATTTTGAGACCCAGGATGCTGCTGATCGTGCCATCGAGAAGATGAACGGCATGCTTCTGAATGACCGCAAGGTGTGAGTGTCAGATCATTTAGGAACTTGGGACAAAGGGTTGTTTATTGTTGTCAGTTTTTTATAAAGAGACTTTTAAAACAATTCAGCTTAAAATGTAAAGAAAATCTTGAAAGTAAAAGAATAATAATGCTGTTAAAAGTCCAGTTGTAGAGGTTGCAGTTATCATAGAGCTTATGGTGATAATATAGCAATAGCTTACATGTATCGGTGTTATAAGGGTGTTTATGTTGTGTAAACCTGACTTGTTTGTTCTGCACATGTGTTGAGTGACCTGACTTTTCGTGTCTTTTTTGAGTTTGAGTTTGTGTGTGAATAATCTGACTAATAAAGCTCATCTCTCACAACCGCCAGTAAGAAGATAACCTCTGAACTGATTAGATAACAAACTAAAAGCTCTTACCTTAGCTCTTATCTTTCCTACCAGAAGCATTTTCTGTTGCCTCATTGGTCCACCCGCTGGTCACCCGTCTTGGAGTGTTTGTATGTGTGTGTGTGTGTGTGTGTATGACCACGCTTGTGTGTTTTAGTGATGGATCGAATGCAGGAATACAATACTGGATGGCAGAAGGGGAGAGGTCATCATAGCAAGGTATATAAGATCACTTGGTCTTCCTCAGCTTTTCTTTGTACTGTGAGACTCTGTTCCTCCATCCCTCTCCATCCACCTCATCAAGTTTTGGACCAAGAATTAAGATAGTTGTCTCTGTGATGTCTAGCATGCCAACCTATCTGCCTGCCTCTGGTGATATTAACAGCAGTTTGATGTTTTACCCCAGGAATGATGTGTCACATGATGAAATGTAGCTGTGAATTTGTTTTGTGGGTGTTGTTCCTGTTTTGTAAAAGAAAGTACTCTCTTTTACTTACCTTGCTTGTGTGGTCAGGTCATCCTCTCCCGGGATCAAGAGTGTTTTTAGATCGGGAAAGGGAAGTCAAAACAGATGGATCCTGGTTTGTTTTCTCACCACTTTCAGGACTGTTTTACAAGAGTGTGTTTTGCTGCTCCCCTTCCTCTCTTTAGGTTTGTGGGTCGTTTCAAATCTCGCAAAGAACGGGAGGCTGAACTTGGTGCCAAGGCCAAGGAGTTCACCAATGTCTACATCAAGAACTTCGGGGATGAAATGAATGATGAACGGCTGAAAGAGCTTTTCGAAAAATATGGTAAAGCGGAACTAGATTTATCCTCCAAACCTGAATGTGGTCTGCTATCCTGGATCCACTTATCTGACCATTAATCTCTGTAGGTACAATTCTCAGCGTGAAGGTGATGACAGATCCCACCGGCAAATGCAGAGGCTTTGGATTTGTTAGTTTCGAACAACATGAAGATGCTAACAAGGTACTTTGCGCTCATAGTGTGCACTACGTGATTGTTTCATTTTTGGTAATTCCTGCTAATAACAATGATTTTGTACAAAGGCTGTAGAGGACATGAACGGCACTGAATATAATGGCAAGACAGTGTTTGTGGGCCGGGCTCAGAAGAAGATGGAGCGGCAGGCGGAGCTCAAGAGGAGGTTTGAGCTGCTGAAACAAGAGAGGATCAGTCGTTACCAGGTGTGTAGAGACTAATCCCTTAATTAATCAAATAAATCCTATATTTAGTCTAATGTCGAAGAAGCTGCTACGTATGAATCCTGACTGTCCGTCTTTGGTTTCAGGGCGTTAATCTTTACATTAAGAACCTGGATGACACCATAGACGATGAGAAACTGCGTAAAGAGTTCACTCCATTCGGGTCTATCACAAGTGCCAAGGTGAGAACAATCAAATTGATCTTGCAATTTCATCCCCATAAGAGAAAAGATGATGCATCAGTGCTTACAATATTATGTGTTTGAAGGTACTCAGTCACTATCTGTCTCTACATTAGGTGATGCTGGAGGAGGGTCGCTCCAAGGGCTTCGGCTTTGTCTGCTTCTCCTCCCCTGAAGAGGCCACCAAGGCTGTGACTGAGATGAACGGACGCATCGTTGGATCCAAACCCCTCTACGTCGCTCTGGCTCAGCGCAAAGAAGAGCGCAAAGCCCACCTCACCAACCAGTACATGCAGCGTATTGCTGGCATGAGAGCCATGCCGGCTAATGCCATCATTAATCAGTTCCAGCCTACCAGTGGATACTTCATGCCAGCTGTGCCACAGGTAGGAGAATCAACGTCTGTAAAGATAGTGTGTGTTAACATGGCTTTCTTAAAAATATACAGTGTTGAATGTGAAAGGGGCTAGCTCCTATAACAAAGCTATAGATACTTATCATCTGACTCTACTGAGTTTTTTGGTGTAGGCTCATTATGTTTGACAAATGTTTAAAACCTTATGTAGATAACCAGCTCATCATTAAACTGCTGACTACAAAATGTAACATCTTAAAGCATTTACCAGCTTGAAGCCAGATATTTCCTGCAGCAGTAGATGGACACCAAAGACAGAGCTAATAAGAGGAGTGCATATTGGATTTATCTTTGCCCAGTAGATACAAACCAAAGTCAAATGTCACGCAATGTGTGCTTGATGTGTACATATGCAACTGTGTGCTAATAAGTATGCCATACCAACTTTAAATGTTATTATGAATTGTCCAATTACCACCAACTCTAAGTGAAGTGTTTGTATTGTTTATTAGGGATATAAGTAAAATGTTGACTCTTGTTTTATTTCAGTAAAACGTCACAGATTACAAAGATAGTCACATCAGTGGTTTAGGTGTGGTATGACTTGAATTACATAAAATGATACATTTCCCTCACTTGTACCCAGCAGGCCCAGAATAGGACTACATACTATGCACCAAATCAGCTGGCCCAAATGCGACCCAACCCCAGGTGGCAGCAGCAAGGAGGCAGAGGTCAAGGTGAGCATGTGGCACTTTATGACAGGGCATCTATTTTGGATATGCTTTCAGGGACACTGTAATATATAGCTATACTGCAATGGACCTATTTGAAATCTATACAATTTAATGCACAACCCTTTTGTTATTCATCTCATTGTTTTTGTCTCTGCTTCTGTCACTCCTAGGTGGTTTCCAGGGGATACCCAACTCGCTGCGTCAGCCAGGACCCCGTGCTAACTTGAGACACATGAGTCCTGGCGGTGGCTCACAGGGTCCAAGAGGTGTGTTCACTCATAACATTATCAACCAAAATGACCACCATCATTGATATTCACTCTCGCTTTTATTGAGGTATATGCATGTGCAGTAGAGGTTGTCAAGACTCTGAATTATGCTCCATTTTCCCTCCTCTCTGCTAGCCTCTGGCCAGGCCATGGCTCCTCGTCCCTCGATGGGAGTCCCCGGCCCCCGCGCCATGCCTCCTTACAAATATGCCACTGGTGTCCGTAACCCCAACCCCCAGGTGGTGCAACCTCTTGCCTTACAGCAGGTATGAGCTAAAAAAAACACATCATGTCATGTTCCTATCATATCGAACCCCAAAACCTTTATATAATTTTCCTTCCAATGCTTTCTCTCTGTCCAGGCTCAGCCGGCTGTGCACGTTCAGGGCCAGGAGCCTCTCACGGCCTCCATGCTGGCTGCTGCACCCCCACAGGAGCAGAAACAGATGCTAGGTAAGAATATCCCATCATGATAAAGAAACTATTATGTTTTTTTTTTTATAATTAGGTTGATTTATTTATTTATCCAAATAGGTGAGCGTCTTTTCCCACTGATTCAGTCCATGCATGCCAACCTGGCAGGAAAGATCACTGGCATGCTGCTGGAGATCGACAACTCTGAACTGCTGCATATGCTGGAGTCTCATGAATCTCTGCGCTCAAAGGTACTTGATTACCTCTATCCTTGCCATAAAGTGGCACTAAAATGTCTGTTATCCATAGTACACTGTTTCATTCATGTGTGATGTTATGTTTGTACAGGTGGATGAAGCCGTTGCTGTGCTTCAAGCACACCAGGCAAAGAAGGATGCAACTCAGAAAGTGGGCAGCATGGCTACTACTGCTGCTGCGGCCACATCCTAAAGACTGTGTGCTGTACTGAAGTGGTACGTATCATTATCAGTCAGTCTATTCTTACATAATTCCAGGTTTGTTGTGTTAATAAAAAGTAATTGTCTTTCAGCGCACAGAGTGCAGAGATGGGGAGAGACACTCTACACCGACTCCATACACCTTACTCCTCTGAAGAATCATGCAAAAAATGAAGGAAAAAAAAGGAAAATGTAATAAAAAATATACTGGAACATTTTGAAAAATATAACGGTTCATAGTTTTCTAGTTCTGTACAACTTTTAAACTGCATACCAAAAGCAGATATGCAAACAAATCTTGAATGAAGGTTCTTCACCTTGTGGCGAAGGAGAGAGACCTTTTTAAAAAAAAAAAGGGAAACGAGCCTTATTCTTTTGCTTTGCTTGAAAGTTTTATGTTTGATTTGAAATGATGAACTCCCCCATCCTATCATGTTATCATGGGTGTGTGGTATTCTCAATAAAAGGATGACATATCAAGGTTTCTACTGTTGTCTGAATGTAATGCCTACATGAAGCTTTATTTATTCAGTTTCAAGTGTGTATCTGACACACGCTTACCTGTCAGTAGTACACAGAGATGGCCGAATTGTACACAGCAGAATAGTTACAGCAGGAGTAGAACAAACAATATTATCATTCATATGGTATGGTATCATATGTTTTGTTTGGGTGTTCACTCGGATAGATGATTGATATAAATTGGACCCTTGATAATGACATCGGAAAGATTTTGCCTGAAAAAAATGAGAAACCAATAAGATAAATTAATCATATTTTTGCATAGAAAACCCATTCAAGATAATTGTCATGACTTCATTGCCATTACATCTCAGCAAAATAACTTATTCAATTCAACTAAAAAGGTATCACCACCATCATGTTGATCATATCATTGTTATCCATTAGCTTGCATAGGATTTATTAAACATTTTTTTAAAGCTTTTCTAAATGACACTTCTCATTCTTCGAAAGAATGATCCTGATGACAGAAAGCATGTGCATCAATTACTGACAAAGGGTGAGATATAAAAAATATATTTGCTGAAAGTTTAGTGCCTTTTTTCTTATCTTAGTCAAACTAAATATGGTACCACCAGCCAGAGACATTTTTCACAAGCTATAAGTTATCTTAGAAAATAGCTTAAAACAAATCAAAACATTTTTTATTTATTAATTATTATTTAATCCATTAGAGTGCCCTATTAGATATTGGTTCCCACAAATATGTTTGGCTGCTCTTAAAATGTCCCTTTTAAATAGAGAAAGGTAAAATAAAATATGCTCCACAATAGTCAGAGATTTTTCACAGCAGTTGGACTTGTAAGAAAGCACAGGTGTCCCAGTAAGTGATTACAGTGTGAGCCACTCAACAGGCCTTTTTTTCCACAGATGATATTTGGACATTATCAGCGTGGGAAAATTAGAGGTAACATTTTTTAAATAATGATTGAAACCTGGCAACTGCTGTTTCAGGATCCTGGAATTGTGCATAGAGGCATACCGGGGCAGTAAAACACAACAGTGCATATGAATGATAATATAATTTCCTGTGCTTTTCATACTATAACAAGTGGCACGTCCCTATCTGAAACAGCTTAAGTCATCATTCATATTATTATTCAAACATGTAACAAGGAAGAGTTTTATCTCAAATGCAAATCTTACCTATCTCACTTATATCCAAATACAAAGCTTTTTGTCTTCCTAAATAGTAGTCGTAAAAAGTAGATGTAGAGTTTTGGAATATTTGCTGAACAAGATAGATACAACTGGTAAAATGGACCTTCCCAATCCCAACTATAGAAGGACTGTAGTGATAGTCTGCAGCTGAATGTACAACTTTGAATACTGTATAATGAAGCCTAGTATTAAAGTGAATATGGAGTCGTGCCCGTTTCCTCCGACAGATGGCGCCTCAGGAAACGTGGTCACTGGGAGGCGGGCTTTAGTCTCACTGAACCAATCACAATCTGCGGGGTCAAAGTTGAGGGGTAACATCCAATATGGCGGCTAACAAACGAGTGCTGTATGTTGGTAAGTTAATGTTTTTTTTCTTAAAAATCGTTGAAACTACATAGTTTCACTACATTTAGCAAACATATTAAGGTCAATACTTTATAAATATTTGAAGTAACTAAATGAAAATATGAATATAGTGCAAGAAAACCTCCGGAAGGAAAAGGTTTAGCCGGTAAAACTTGAAAACGTCTCCTGAAAACATGGCAACTTCGCCGATGTTTAACTACGTACAAACGCAATGAGAAAGTACTTATAGTCAACTTGTTAAAGAATTTTGAATGCATTTAGTAAAATATAAGCGTAAGCTTCAGGAAATCCTATGGACATATGTTTATTGAACGCAGCACGTTTAAACTGTCCCGTTATGCTCTTCCGCTAATATGCAATAATATACATTTCATCATTTTGGTGTGTTTCTGTCAGGTGGCCTGGCAGAGGAGGTCGATGAGAAGGTGTTACATGCAGCTTTTATTCCGTTTGGAGACATTACAGACATCCAGATACCATTAGACTATGAAACAGGTAAGACTAGTAACTGTTCTGTTTCTGCAACACTTTATCACTGTGGCCAAGATAAACTGAAATAATGTGTCTGTCTAATGATCTGTTTTCAGAAAAGCACAGAGGATTTGCCTTCATTGAGTTTGAACTAGGAGAGGTATGTACTGGTACTTCTCTAAAGTACACACTGAAAGTAACAATATTCTGATATTTACATGAAAAAGCCAATACATATATGTATTAAAATAGGCTAAAATCAGTGTGTAGTTGCACTATTGAGAGAAAAGTTGAACATGGACACACCTTAACACAATCTGAGTTTAAAAAAAGGTTTGCAACACATAGTAATCTATCTGCTTGGGATTGTAATGTACTGTTATGTACATCCTTAAAAAATGTCACTCCCCCTTGTTAATACGGCTGTTGTACAGCATATAAATATGAATGGGCTAAATGTATTATTATTATTATTTGCACTACTGTCTGATAAGGACATTTTGTATATTTGCCTGACTGTTGAATTCAGTGTAAACATGGATGGTAACACATAATAAGGATTTCAATTATACATATTTCTGTGCTCATGACATTTATGGCCTTTTCTTCTGTAGGATGCTGCAGCAGCTATTGATAACATGGTAAGTGCATCACTGTGTTGCACAATCATGTAAGTGAGAATGTTATTCTGTTTCTGAGACATAGCTGATGTGAGTTTGCCCAAAAGGTTAAAGCTTTCTGTTTTCTAGCTTTCTGTTTTAATGTTGATGTTCTTGCTCTTTCTGCCAGAATGAGTCTGAGCTTTTCGGGCGGACTATCCGAGTCAACACTGCCAAGCCCATGAGGATCAAAGAAGGATCTTCTCGACCAGGTGATTTCAAAAAACAGCTTATAGAGTTCTTAGGTTCAAGTATATTAAATCCTTTATTCTTAATTTAAATCTGCTTTTCTGTCAGTGTGGTCGGACGACGACTGGCTGAAGAAGTTCTCGGGGAAGACCGCAGAGGAAGCTGATGGGGAGGCAGCGGCTGGAGAGACAACCACCACTGCAACAGAGGAGGTGAGGCGGCTTTCTCTAAAAAGAGTTGGTGGCTCCCACCCTTAACTATGTCAAGATAGTGACATCAGTATGATTTGGTTGTTTTTTGCAGGCTGAGCCCCCGGCTAAAAAGGGCAGAGTTAATCCTCAGGTCTACATGGACATCAAGATTGGAAACAAGGCAGCGGGGAGACTACGATTCCTTCTTCGGGCCGACATTGTTCCCATGACAGCAGGTGTGTGTGCTGTAGGGCTTTCAACATCATATCTTTGTCAAACATATATGTTGTAGCTGTACAATGTTAAGTGTGCTTGCATAAAGAATTGACACTGAATTCTACAGGAGTCGATCGTAAAAAAAAAAAAGTGTTTAGAAGAAGAAGAAGAAGAAGATTCAACTTATGGTCATTATGTAGTACAGGTACTATGTAACGAAACGGTTTCTCTGCATTTGACCCATCCTAGTGTTAGGAGCAGTGGGCTGCCATTATTTACGGCGCCCGGGGAGCAGTGTAGGGAACGGTGCCTTGCTCAGGGACACCTCGGTAGCACTTCCGGGACTTGAACTGGTGACCTTCCAGTTGCCAAGCCAAGTCCCTATGGACTTCGCCACCACCGCCCTTTATCATTCCCCCCTAAATTTAAAATCGGCAAAAAGTGACCTCATCATCTTTTTTTTCATTCTCTACAGAGAATTTCCGCTGCCTGTGCACGCATGAGAAGGGCTTTGGCTTTAAGGGCAGCTGCTTCCATCGCGTCATCCCTCAGTTCATGTGCCAGGGAGGAGACTTCACAAACCACAACGGCACCGGGGGCAAGTCCATCTACGGCCGGAAGTTTGATGATGAGAACTTTGTCCTCAAGCACACAGCGCCAGGTGAGGAGTTTTGTGTGGGGTTCGTGGGTGTTTGTGTCGGAGGTCTGAGTGTGAATCAGCATCATGGTTTACAGATTCTGTGGATAACTGTTCACAATCTTGTTTTGTTGTGTTCACAGGCCAGCTCTCCATGGCCAACTCTGGAGCAAACACTAACGGCTCCCAGTTCTTCATCACGACTGACAAAACAGACTGGCTGGACGGCAAACATGTGGTGTTTGGAGATATGGTGGAGGGCATGGATGTGCTCCGTGCAATGGAGGTAAGGGATAAAGGGCTGACTCAGACTGCTTTATTATTATTATTATTATTAAATACAACTGAAGGTTTTTTTCAATGCAGTGATCATAATGAGCTGCACAATACAACAACATAGCCCTCTGGTTTAAATGCTCTCAATTTAAACACAATTCATTTCAAAACAATGTCCATCACTATTTGATTCTCACTTTTGCTACCTGTGAATAAACTTTCTGTTCATCATCTCACTTAAAAGTGTACACATTAAAAACTCACTATATTGGTTTAATGTTATATTGATAATAGCAGGTTATTTAGCTATAAAAGCTTGTAAAGGTTAAAGACAATCAGGATGAATTTTTAGATGCAATTGCTTTTTTTATAATTGTGTTTTCTTTTTGCAGGCTCAGGGAAATAAAGACGGCAAGCCGAAGCAGAAAGTCATCATCTCGGACTGTGGAGAATATGAGTGACCAAAACAGTGTGTGTTTGCTTGTATGTGTCTGTGGCCGCAGTGTATGTCTGACAGTGTGAGTGTGTTCATGGTATTTTGTTCTTTGAGCCCACATTGTCTGCCATGTAAATATTTCAATAAACATCTTTTTTTTTTATAAAGAAACCACAGCTTGATATTTCTTGATATCTATTTCTTGGTACAAAAAGAGTGGAAATGGTTGGCCAATGCTCTTAGCGATGCATATCAAATCAACAGCTTCCTAAAGACACCAGCAAGTGTTGAAAATGTTTTGACATTTGGTCAGCTTTCACCTCAAGTTTGCAAATGGTAATGTTGGTTACAGTATG